AAAGTAAGCTATTTTCTCGTCTTGACATTCCCAAAAAATCAGTTGTGTTTAATATATATTTAATAATAGTTTTTAGTCTTGGCTCACGCAAATAGTGACCCTGCAAAATCATAGTCTGTGACTAAAAAACTGAGGGACTAATGACACGTTGTCTTCAGATGTGAGAGGGTGTCAAACTTTAGTCTTTTGAAAGTCCTTTTAAAGTATTTTAGTGAATGGTTAGCATAGGTTTCCTACTGCTCAGGACAGCTAGCTAATGCTATCTATAGATTTTCCCCTCACGCTCTCTCTCTCGCACTTGTTTCCTCAGAGCAGCAAGGTGTGTGTGTGTTGATTTGTTTTCTGTTGTTTTTTGACTTAAGACTCGTCCTGACCACCTCACACTAAACGATCAGATGACATGAGTGTGACGCATCTCTAGCAAGACCCTCATGGTTTTATTCCGACTTTGGAAGTTGGAAGACAGTGAAATCACTTGAAAAGCTGTTGGGTGTCAGGCTGGCATTACCCAAATAGTGACCCTGCAAGATCCCCAGTCTTTGCAAAATCATAGCCTGTGACTAAAAACTGTGTAACTTATGACACATTGTCTTTAAACATCAGTCTTTTAAAAGTCTTTTTTAGAGTCTTTTCAACGTCTTTTAGTGTATGGTTAAGTTTCCTGCTGCTCAGGACAGCTAGCTAAGCAGCACATTTATCACAAGTTATCAGCACAGTGCAGAAATGTGCCATTATAATAAAACAGATTTGGTGAAAAGGCCAAGCAGCACATGAACCTGTTTGAGAAAACTCAACAGTTTCTTTGTGAGGAGAGATATTTTAGAGCTGGTCTACAGGAGTCTGGCTGAGAGTGTTTTGAAGTATTATATACATACTTGGTCTGGCTAAGAATAAGACCAAGCTGTTGAAGACTGTGAATATGGCTGGGAAAATCATATAGAAACCACAAAAAGTTTGTGAAATAGATTTGTTTGGTAGTAGGAAGAAAGCCCAGCAAACTGTGGGGGATCTTGTTCATCCTCTGTTTGTCAAATTCAATTTGCTCCCTTATGGAAAGTGTAATAGGGAACCTTGGGCCACAAAAAATATTTTTAAGAATTTGTTTATCCCATATTGAATTTCTCTAATAGACTTAAGTCACTTATTGATTTGATGTGTTCCTAGGTGTGTTTTTGTGTGTCGTGTTTTGTATTAGTATGTACACTTAAAAGGGTTCTTCTGTTGTTACAATGTCAAGCTTATAACAATAGAACCCCTTTTCAAAAACAACACATTCTCTATCAATCTAAAGAACCATTTTACAGTGCAAAGCACCCTTTAATCATGCAATGGCTTCTTTAAGTGTTTATGGTTCTAGAACACTTTTCTTTACAAAAAACCTTTGAAGAACCCTTGAAGATCTTTTTAAAGAGTGTAGAAACTACATTGTAAACAGACTTATTCATATTCTATGACCTTAAAAATGATGGTTCTTCAAGTGTTTGTTAGTAATGAAAATGGTTCTTCATAGAACCATGATCACCTTTGCATGATTAAAGAGTTCTTTGCGGTGTGAAAGGGTTCTTCAGAATCTGCTGTGGATGGTTCTATATGGAACCTTTTTGAAAAAGGCTTTTTTGAAATATAGCACCAAAAGGGCTATTCTATTGTTACGATGTCAAGCTTGTAATAATAGAAGAAACCTTTTTGGTGCTATATAGAACCTTTTTCTAAAAGATTCCATACAGAACCATCTACAGCACATTCGCCATCAATCTGATGAACCATTTCACACTCTTTAATCATGCAAAGGGTTCTTTCAACGTTCATGGTTCTATATAGAAACATTTTCTTCACTAAAGAACCCTTGAAGATCTTTTTTAAGGGTGTAGAATCTACACTGTAAACATACTTATTCATATCTTAGTGTTGCAGCAGAAATGTTCTGAAAAATAACGAAAACCCTCTTGTGATGATGTAGTTTGAAGGTGGGAGGAATGACGGCTGTTTTGGAGTGGATTTTTGGAGGCAGGCTCTCCAAAATGTGTTTTTTTCCCATCAGCTTGTGAACACAGAAGGAACCCAGACAGCTAACGCTACAGCTATTCAGGAAGCTGAATATCTTATCGCAGCCGCATTACTGTGAAAACAATCTTCAAATCATCATTACAGTGGAATGGATTACTCAAACGACAGAAATGACTCATCAGATGAGATAGACAACAAGCTAAAAGCTAAAATTAGTCTGTTCAGATACTATAGCTTAGTTTGGCCTCTTTTCTCTGGCTAAAGGTGTAAAAACTCCCCTCTGGTGTTCAGTTTGTGCTGTATAAAGATACAATTACTATTTTCTTCATTACTTGCATTAATGCTAGCTGGGTTGTGTTTATCACTCTGAAGCTCCATGGCTAGGCTAGCAGTCAGGATTAGACACCACAGGGATTCCAAATGGCTGCATGATATATTTAAGTATATGTTGTTAGCTACATTAGCCTCAAAGCTCAGCAGAGGTGGGAACAAGTCACTATGTTGCAAGTAACAAGCAAGTCTCAAGTCTTGACCCCCGAGTCTTGAGTCAAGTCCCAAGTCAAGACAGTCAAGTCTCGATTCAAGTATATCAGTACAGGCAAGTCTCAAGTCAAATCCCAAGTCTCAATCTTCCTAAACAAAATTATTCTGCATTCTTCAGCTATTTTAATACTGGTGGTTTTGGATAGTAAATCAAATTTCTAGATCTGTGTTGTAGTCAGAGCAACGTCTGATTCCTGTCACCACCACTGTAAAGAAATCTGAACCATTTCACACCAAACCACTCTGAATCACTGTTTATATCAAAAAATAAGTGGAAATATTCCTTAATTTCAGTCAAAATTTCCCCTTATTTCCTTAAAAGGATGGTTCTTCAATGGTTCTTTAGTAAAGACAATGGTTGAACACTCTTAAATAGTTCTTTGCATTGTGGAAGCATTCCTCAAATTGAGGGAGCATGTGTGTATATATATATATATATATATATATATAGAGAGAGAGAGAGAGAGAGAGAGAGATCGCTGCTGTGGGAAGAAAAACTGGTATTTCCATATTTGTTGTTTTTCAGTTTTTGACATAATTTGAAAATGCCTGTTGCCCTTTACATTGTGTGTAAATTTCATGATGAATGGACCAGTCAAAATATATGATCACCATAGAAGAACCCTTTTGGGTACAATATAGAACCATTTTAAAAAAAGGATCTCTGTAGAACCATCAACAGCACATTTTCCATCAATCTAAAGAACCTTTCATAATTCAAAGAAACCCACATGCTTAAAAAAGACCGTTAAGGGTTCCTCAAGAGTTCTTTAGTAAAGAAAATGATTCTGCTACCGTTACAAGCTCGACACGTCACAATAACAGGACTCTTTCTGGTGCTATATAAAACCATGTAGAAGAACCATCTTTTTAAAGATTGTACCGTGTCTGGACTGATCAACTGTGTCTGGGAAGAAGGAGAAGTGATGTGAATGAGATTTTTGGATGAACTGTCCTTTTAACCCCTGCCTGGTCCCTGGAAGTTGGAGGAGGTTGGGAATCAGGGCCGGAGAGACGGAGTGGAGTTTAAACGGCTGCCAGTTCAGCTGTTGCTTTATCATAAATCTGCCTTTGCTCGCGTTTTGCCTGGAGACTATTTGCATTAATGGGGCAGCAGAGGGGGCCGGGCGCTCTGAGGAAACGGCACGGCCGGTTAATCAGTCAGCTGCAGCAAGGTGTGTGTGTGTCTGTGTGTGTTGCTCTCGGAGGGAGAGGAGCGCTCCAGCTGAATCCGAATCACCAGCGGCTAATGAAATGATCATTATTGTGAGTAAAGTCCAGTGATTCACTGCGAGAGGCTCTACTGGAGAGAGAGAGAGAGACACGCCTTTACACACACACAGAGAGAGAGAGAGAGAGAGAGAGAGAGACGCCTTTAAACTCAGAGAGGGAGAGAGAGAGAGAGAGAGAGAGAGAGAGAGAGAGAGAGAGAGAGAGACGCCTTTACACTCAGAGAGAGAGAGAGAGAGAGAGAGAGTGAGGAAGAGTTGTTACTTTTTCTTTTTCTCAAATGTTTTTTTTTTCCCAGCACATCTCTTTTTTCTCTTATTCTCACTTTGTCTCTGCATTTCTCCCTCTTTCTCTTCTTCTCTCTTCTTTCTCTTCTTCTCGTTTTGTCTCCTTCTCATCCTTGACCATCTTCCCATCTATCATTTCTTCCATTGCGCTCTCTCTCTCTCTCTCTCTCTCTCTCTGTTTTTTGTCTATTTTACTTCCTTTATTTTGCTCTCCCTCTTTTCTCTTTTTCTATTTCACCTTCATCTTCTTTCTTTAACTTTTTTCCCCTTTCTCTACCCCCCTCTCTTTCTTGTCCTCGATCTCCCTTTATCTCTATCTCCCTCATTTCTATATCTGTCTTTTCTCTTCTCCTTCCTTCTTTGTCTGTCCTTTTTGCTGTCTTTCCCTCGTTCTACCTTTCTTTTTTCTCTGTCTCTCTCACTCTCTCTGTCTCTCTTTATCTCATTCTCTTTACCTTTCCTTTTTTGCTCTCTTTCAATCCCTCTCATCTTGTTCTCTCTCTCCTTTTCGCCTTCCCTCTGTCTCTCCTTTTTTGCTGTCTGTCTTTTCCTCTTCCTCTCTACATTTTCTCTCTATCTCTCTCACTCTTTCTCTGTCTCTTTGTCTCTCTCTCTCATTTCTCTGTCTCTGTCTCTCCTTTTCTCCTTCTCTCTTTATCTTGCCTTTTTTGCTGTCTTTCTTTCCCTCTCTATCTTTTTATCTGTCTCTCTCTATCTTGTTCTCTCTCTCTCTCTCTCTATCTTGTTCTCTTTCTCTCTCCCCGCGCTCTCTCTGTATCTTTAAGTGGGATGTTCTGCAGTAGGAGGGGTTGAGAACGAGCGAGAGAGAGAGAGCGAGTGAGAAAGAGAGAGAGAGTGCGCGGTTGGTTGCTCTGTGTGTGCGTGTGTGCGCGCGCGCGTGTGTGTGTGTGTGTGTGTGTGTGTGTGTGTGTGTGTGCGTGCGCGCGCGCGTGAGTGTCGCTTCGCCTCTCTCCGCTTTCTCCACCTGCAGTTTGTGCGCGAGACACTCCGCGCACAGAGGAGCGAGGCAGAGGAGCTTTACGGCGCGAGCGAGCGAAAAACGGAGCGCGAGAAAAGCGCAGAGCGAGAGAGGAGAAAGAAACGCAGAGACGGAGAGAGGAAGAGAGGAGGGACGGATAGAGGAGCGGAGAGGAGAGGAGCACGCGCCAGGAGGAGAGAAGGTTTCGAATCCTGAGTGAGCCGCGCGCAGGGTGTGTGTAGTTTGATTACTGGAGAGGATGAGCTCGAGCTTTTTTCTCCGCTTCTTCGGCTCCATCCTGCTGGTAAGTTGCTCTTCTCCTCCGTCGCCTTTCACTCCACGCGCAAACACTTTTGCGGGGAGAAGGGACGCCAATGTTTGTCGCGCGAGCTCCTTCTTTCTCTGCACTTGGATGTGGACTTGCGCTGAGACGAGAAACGAGAAACGGCGTTTTTGTTGCAGTTTTTTTTCCAGCATTGCTGCTGATTATCGCCTCATAACGTAAAGCGAGGTGGAAGCTGTTTGTATTTTGTGTGTTAGCCAAACAGAAAAAGCTGAAAAAGACCCCGGCTCGCGCTGCTATGCCCATGCTTCGTTATGCTGGGAATAAATAAGTGCTGATTTTGTGATTTTTGCGCATTGGAGCCGGACTCTCTCCAACACTGGAGCTTCCTCTGACCCCCTTCTGCAGAAACTGGGTGTGCAAAAATGAAAAAAAAATGGCACATTTAATGCCTTTTCTATACAATGATGGACCACAGGTGGTGATGTGTGGCAGGCAAACTGTGCAATGTTGGGAATAAATGTGAAAAAACATGAACGTTCATGCTTTTTTTCTGCAGAATGTGGGAAGTTAGTGGTGCTGATGACTCGTGCATTGCTCTGTATCACAGGCAAAGTGCAATGTTGGAAAAAATGAGGGGAAATAACGTTTGAAAACATTTAACGCTGTAGAGCTGCTCTTTTAGCATGTGAATATAGAAAGTTGGTGGCTTATTTGGGATGGAAAAGTGGACAGTTCTGGGGAAGATGGCAATATTGACCATTACATGTTTTTTTTCTTCTTCAGAATGTGGGAAGTTGGTGATATTGATGATTCGTGCATTGATACAGTGCAGTGTTAAAAAACAAATAGGGAAAATGACATTTCAGCATATTGTATTCTTTAGGATTGCTCCCTTAGCGTGTGAATATTGTGTTTTCTGGGAGATTTTGGCACACATAGTGCACAATGTTTGAATACATGGGGGGAAAATAAACATTTTATTTCTGCAGAATGTGAGGAGTTAGTGATGCTGGGGGTTCACGCATGGCTCTGTAGAACAGCCCAAGTGTATAATGTTGAATAAAATGCTAATAAAATCACATTAAATGTTCTTTTTTGTCTATTTTTGGGCAAGTTGGTGGTGTTGGGGGTTTGTACGTGGCTGTGCATGGCATGCAGAGTGTGCAGTGATGGAAAACATCAGGGAAAATCACATTTAATGCTCTTTTCTGTAGATGAGTGGAACGCTGGAGGTGTTGCATGACAAGGCAAAGTGTGCAATGTTGGAAAAATGAAAGGAAATCGCATTTAACATTATTTTTAGTGGTGTTGGGGGTTTGTGCATGGCTCAGAGTGACATGCAAAGTAAACAGTGTTGTAAAAAATGAAGAAAATAACATGTAAAAACATTTACTGATGCTCTTTTCTGTATTTGGATATGGAAAGTTAGGAATTTTATGGAATTTTGACATGGAAAAGTGGACCCTGTGGGAATAATTGGGACAAAAAGAAACAATTGATGGTCCTTTCTGCAGAACGTGCGGAGTAAGTGGTGCTGGGGGCTTGTGTATGGCTCCGTAGAACAGCCAAAGTGTGCAGTTTTGGAAAAAATGCACATTTAGTGTTGTTTTTGTAGGTGTTGGGGATTTGTGTGTGGCTGCGTGTGGCATGCAAAGCCAGAAATGATGGAAAATATGGAAAAAGAGATGAAATTGGATGCACTTTTCTGCAAAATGTTGGAAGTCGGTGATGTTGGAGAGCCGTACATGTTTGTGTAGACCAAGCAAAGTGAGCTTTGTTGGGAAAAAAATAGAAAACAGTCACATTTAATGACATTTAATGCCGTACGGTTGCTTTTGTTCTGATGGGTTTTCTGTAATGAGGGTGTGTGTGGCTGTGAAAGCATAGGCAATGTTTACAATGGTGAAAAAATGGGGAAAGTCACATTTTATGCTTTTTCGCACATTATCCTGGGATGCTAATGTTTGGGGTCACAGTTATTGATTTATTTATTACTAAAATCATATCTAATGCGGTAGGTTTGCTGTGAATATGTTACGATGGTGGGTCTTTATGGAATTTGCACATGGATGGCAGAAAGTGCCAAAGTAGGACTGTGGAAATCTGAGAGGGAGATGTTCAGAGATTTCAATTTTATGTGTGAATTTAATCATGAAAAGACATCATTGGTGTGAATTGAATCATTTTAGGGCATTATTGGTGTGAATTTATTTATTATAAGGCATTATTGGTGTGATCTTATTTATTATAAGGCATTATTGGTGTGAATTTATTTATTACAAAGCATTATTAGTGTGAATTTATTTATTATAAAGCATTATTGGTGTGAATTTATTTATTACAAAGCATTATTAGTGTGAATTTATTCATTATAAGGCATTATTAGTGTGAAAGTATTCATTATAAGGCTTTTCTGATAACAATTTAATCATTATAAGACATTATTAGGGCATATTTAATCATTATAAGGCATTATTAGGGTGAACTTAATCATTATAACGCATTATTAGTGTGAATTAATTCATCATAAGGCTTTTCCGATATTAATTAAATCATTATAAGACATTATTAGAGCAAACTGAATCATTGGGTCATTTGGTGTCATTGGAATTACTATAAGGCATTATATGGTTTGAATGAAATCATTATAAGGCATTATTACTGTCAATGTAATCATTATAAGGCATAATTGGTGTAAATTAAATTATAATAAGACATTGTTGGTGTGAATTTGACAATGAAAAGGCATAATTGGTGTGAATTAAAAAATTAAAAGGCATTTCTGATGTGAATTTAATCATAATAAGCATTTTTGGTGTGAATAGTCAGATATAAGGCATTATTAGTGTGATTAGTCATAACAATGCATCATTGGTATGAATTTATTCATTATAAGGCATCCTTGGTGTGAATTTCATTGTCAAAAGACATTAGTGGTATTAACTGCATCACTGTAAGGTATTAATAATGTGAATTTAATCACTATAAGGCAGTATTAATGTGAATTTAATCACTATAAGGCACTGTTGGTGTGACTTATTTGTTGTATGGCATAATTGATAAGATTTTAATCACTATAATGCATCAATGCCATAAATTCTATCATAATCTAAGATGTTGTTGTGAATTAAATGATTTCTAGCCATAATCTATGCAAATTAAAAAATTATTACCAGGTCTGTCAGTTATATTAGTAATCAAATGATCTAACGATTATGTTGATGGTTAATCAGGTAACCATATACACTCAATTCATAACAGCATTTCATTTTACTTCATATTTGTAACCACAATCATTTTGCTGTGGTTAGAACAAAATTTTTAATCTTTATGTTTGTTTTTTTCCTTTAACAGAATTTGAAAATGCCAGCTGCCATTTACTTTTTACTTCAGTAAAATGTTAAGAATGTTTCTTTTTTCTCCTGTTTAGTTACCGTTTTAGAGATATGAGGTTCTGTTATAGTGTATATACACATTAGTGAGATCCTGCTGGTGTGGATTTACTTTCTTTCAGCAATTAACACAAAAACAGTTTCAGAGCTAACAGCACCCCATGTGGAGATTTTTCAGACAGGTTAATCTGGCTTTATAGTGACCTGCAGATTTGATCATTTATCGTTCAGTACTTACTACTCATGATTAGTGCACTTTTCTGAGAGATGTTGTAAGCTTCTGATAAAAACGGACACGCTCTAACAGCTTGTTTGTTTATTTGTTTTAAATGTTGGTAAATAAGCAGATGTGTTTGTTGAGGGTCGTTGTAGGAGTGAAAGTGAGGGCAAACAGTTCAAGCAGCTTGCAGCAGACACACACTCTGTGCAGAGTTATCAGAAGCAGAACACACACACACACAGACACACACACATACACACACACACACGCACATAAAAAACAAAAGATAATAATGGATAATAGCGTACAGTCGTCACTGTGAGGTGATGAATGTGTTTTTTTAATTTTAAGATGAAAAATTTAAATTTAGAAAAGCTTCTTCTAAATTGTGTTTGTTGTTATTGATTATAGCTTTAGTAATACGGTACAGCCCAAAGTACACCATCAAAGACACCACATAAACAACCACACACTCTGCGTTTACCTATTTGTTTATTTATTTATTTATTTAGGTCAGCCTTTAGAAATTTGACTTCTTGTACAGTTTTCCTTCTTTCTCCCTGTTTTTTTTGTGTTTCTCTCTTTCTGTTTTTGTCTGTCTGTCTTCCATGCTTTCTTTCTCTCCTCTCTTTCTTTCTTTCTGTCAGTCTTTATATTTTTCTTTCTTTCTTTCTTTCTTTCTTTCTTTCTTTCTTTTTCTTTCTTTCTGTTTGTCTTTTTTATTTGTCAGTTATTCCATGTATCTTTTTCTGTCTCTCTCTCTCTCTCTCTCTCTCTCTCTCTGTATACACTGTATCTCTCTCTATCTTAAATTTAATTTATTGTAATATTGTAGAACTTTTATTATTGAAGCTACAGTAAAACCACCCTGCTGTTACATCATATTACATCACATAAACAGCCACACACAGTGCACTGAACTTATTTATTTATTTATTTACCTACTTACTTACTTATTTATTTATTTTGAAGTTTTTGCTTCTTGTCTAGTGCAAGTAACAGAAACACACACTCGCACACACGCACAGACACACACACACACACACACACACAGGGTACTGTGAGGTCATACTAACTCTAACCCTGAGCTTAACCTTCACTTTAATCTGAGTAACCGAAAGTTGATCTTTCTGCTCTTTTAGATTTTGTTCTGAAAATGTTGTCTGTTTTGGTGAAAACAGAGCAGCAGCTAAATGTCCTTAGTTAACAGACCTGTCCTGTTATTTTTTCATCACGAGGATATTTGGTCCTCATTATATCTTTATAAGGCATCTTCATGTTTCACAGTGTACGCTGTTCTCACTGTTTCTTCTGCTGTCAGCTTCACTGTACTGTACTGTAGCCCCCTGAACATCAGTATAGCTCTGTATACAGAGAAAGAGAGCGAGAGAGAGGGAGAGAGAGAGGAAGAAATGAGAGCAAATAAATCTATCTATCTATCTATCTATCTATCTATCTATCTATCTATCTATCTGTCTGTCTGTCTGTTGGTCTGTCTGTCTGTCTGTCTATCAGTCTGTCTGTCTATCTATCAATATCTATTTCTATCTATCTATCTATCTGTCTGTCTGTCTATCTATCTATCTATCTATCTATCTGTCTGTTTGTCTATCTATCTATCTATCTATCTATCTATCTATGTATCTATCTGTCTGTCTATCTATCTATCTATCTATCTATCTGTCTGTCTATCTATCTATCTATCTATCTATCTATCTATCTATCTATCTATCTATCTATCTGTCTGTCTGTCTGTCTGTCTATCTGTCTGACTGCCTATTTAAAAATGTTTGACTAATTGTTGAGTGTGTCAGACAACAGTCTCATAAACACAAAGACCAGACTCTCTCTCTCTTTCTCTCTTTCCTTTTCTCTGTGTCTTATTGCCTTTTCTCTCTCACTGTTTCTCTTCGTCTGGTTTTTTGTCTGTCTGTTTTCGCTCTGTTCTCTTTCTCTCTGTCTCTTTTCTCTCCTTTCATCTATATGTAAATATATTCATAATATATTTCTCATTTTTCATAAACATATTTCTTTCATTCTATCTATCTGTCTGTCTGTCTGTCTGTCTGTCTGTCTGTCATCAGTGTCTGACTGCTTGTTTAGTGAATGTATCTCTCTGTGTAAATATCCTCGCTGCCAGAACAAAACATTGTCCATTTCCATTTTTTGTCAGTTTTTATTTTTCACAGAACTTGAAAATGTCTTAAAATCTCACATTCTCTTTCTCAAGTTTCACGTTCAGGTTCAGGATGGCTTTGTTGTGGTGACTGTATCTAGTACAATACTAAGCATAATAACAACAATAACAATCACAGCATCAACAACATGTATAATAGAGGTGGGTGATATGGCAAATTATAATACCATGATACTTGAAGAAAAAACAACCAATAATGCTACATTTTACAAAATACTGTTAAAAACTGTGACAGTAATGATTTTTATTCAATATTTCTCATACTGTGTTGCACTAAATACAGTTAATAAGGAATAATTTTGCTCTCTTTTTAAGGAAACATGTCCTACTGCTAATGTGATCTACAATATGTTCAGAAACGCATAATCTGCTGTATTCAGATAGCATAATTTATCACAATAACGGTGTATATTGTCATATTTTCCAGGCCTAATATGTGACGCTATGTTCTCTGTGTGTTGTAGGGGACGTATGTGGAGCTGCAGGTGAAAGCGGACTGTAAGCCTGGATTTTCTCAGAGTTTATACACACTGCGCCTTTCAGCAGACCTGCTGCAGGACCACAGCGCCGGTCGGCTCAAAGGTAAGACAGTGTGGCTGTAATGGGCGATGTTTTATTGCTTTAATGGGCCTGTTGTTTCGCTTTAATGGAGGTTGTTTTTCTTGCTGTTTCTGTTCTATTGAAGGAGTCTGAGAGAGTGAAAAGAGACTCATGTGTCGGACTGCGTCCTTGCATACAGACATAGAGCGCTCGATCGCTGCTGTTGTCTCACTTTCTGAAACAGAAGCCAGACGCTGCAGTCTGGAGCAGTGTGGGTGTTCTCTGTCAAGGGTTCTCCACTTCTAAACTTTTATATGAGAAAGATCTGTATAGAAATATGCCTAAATATTGGAAAAGAAGTTTTCACCCTATTTGGAAAATAGGGCTGAATGATTTGGGGAAAATATCTAATTGCAATTTTTCTGATTAATATTGAATCTGCAATTTAAATTGCAATTATTTTCTATAAATTGAGATTCAGACTTGCTGTTTTTTTACCAAGAAGACCAGAACATCCACTTTTTCTGGCTTGAGGCTTAATGTAGTGAGCCAGGAAGCCAGTAAGTTGTGGTTGTGATGTCACAACACACGGAGGTTTGGTTGCCTCTGATTGGTCTAACTCTACAGGCAATAAATTCTTAAAAAAAGATGGTGCTTCAAGGGTTCTTTAGTAAGGAAAATGGTTCTGTATAGAACCATGAACACTCAAAGAACCCTTGCATATTTACAGGGTTCTTTGTATCATGAAAGCGTTCTTCAGATTGATGGAGAATGTGCTGCAGATGGTTCTATATATAACCTTTTATAAATATGGTTCTATATAGCACCTAAAAGGATTCTCCTATTGTTATGGTGTCAAGCTAATACTGATAGAAGAACCCTTTTGGGTGCTGTATAGAACCTTTTCCAAAAAGTTTCTACATAGAACTGTCTATAGCACATTCTCCATCAATCTGAAGAACGTTTTCATGTTGCAAAGAACACTTTAATCATACAAAGTGTTCATGCTTCTGTATAGAACCAATGTTTATACTAAAGAACCCTTGAAGCGCCATCTTTTTTTAAGAATGTATACAAGTCTGTGTTACTGCGTTAAATTTCCCTTCTTAAAACCTGAGACATTTTTGATAATGTAGACTATAATTTAAAAAAAAATTGCAGCTCTTTCGATTTGAAAATTTCAACCCTTAAATTGTGATTTTGATATAAAAATGTTTGATCTTTCAGCTCTACTGAAAAAGTAGATTTAGCATAGACCTGGGTGATATGACATTATCTATCATTATCATGAAAAATGGCCTCACGATATGCTTTTCTATGCATATCGTGATTATCGCCAGTGCTGAAAAACCACTTACCAGCTGCTTGTTTGATTACAGAGAGTAGTTTATTGGATGTCAGGAAAAATATATTGTGGCATATCCTGCATTGCATATATAGTGATATACATTTTGCAATATCGCCCAGCTCTAGTTTATCCATAAAATGCAAAAAAACAGTGATGGAACAAGATATTTTCAGGACAAGTGTTGACGTAGTGGAACGAAAGTCACGTTTGGCACTGTCAGAACGGGATGCTCCGATGGTGTTCTCCAGGGTAAGGTGAATGGAAACCCAGTTTGTGAGGCTCAAGCTGGGCGATATAACCATCTGTGTGGTTGAAATAAGAGTAACGCTTTATTTGGATAGTCCACTTTAGATTCTTTGTAGATGCTCAATCCATTTTTTAGCTAACTAATATCTATTAAATACAACTTGAACTTGAAGTTGTGTGTAAAATATTCTGTTAAATTTGTCCCTAACCCTCAACTTAAACCTGACCCTAACCTCAAGGCAAAACCTACACACATCCCTAACCCTAATCATAATGATGTTGATAATCAAATATCACCAAGTTTGTTAATAATATACATGTCTGTAGATCATCTATAGGGGATCATCCAAATGAAGTGTGACCAAAAAAAAAGATTCTGTATTTAAAAAAAAAAAACAGGTTTCTTAATTTTTTAATTTAAGATATTGAATCTTTTTTTGAAGTTTACTATCAGATCAAAACAAAATACACCACATCTGCTAGTCTGGCGCCAGAGATATGGGAAGGTGGGCTGCTGAGGGGGGCTTCAGCACCTCCAGATTTCCGGACTGTTTGACTAAAAGGCTAAAAAAGACCTTTAAAACAGTGTTAACCTAGTCAAGAGCTGTGTGTTGCTTGAAATGAATGGTGTTAATAGGGAGTTTGTCCCTCTTTGCTGCAGCAACAGCCTCTCTCTTTTGGGAAGGCTTTACACTAGATGTTGGAACATTGCTGTGATTGAGCATTAGTGAAATCAGGTACTGATGTTGGGTGATCAGTTCTGGATCACTTCAGCTTATCCCAAAGGTATTGGATAGAGCTGCATCACTCTAGAAAATGCAGCTCCACTGCTCCACAGCCCAATGCTGGGGGGCTTTATACCCCTCTAGCCCATGCTTGGTTTTTTGCATAGTGACCTTAGGCAGCTTCAAGGTGTCAGTGTACATTAGCTGGGGCACCTTAAAGTAGCTGTATTCACTCATTCGAAGGACTATCTGGACACTTTTGGGGACTTAGAGGTTGTAAGCTGTTCTTTGAGCAGGTTGTTTTGTTGCTGTTGTCTGTTATGAAGATATTATTAGAATCATTAGACTTTCTGCTTCTCAACTGCAATTATATCAGTTTCCATTGTTCTTCTGTTTTGCCTCACTTTGTTCTCATCGTCGCTGTAGCAAATATTCAATGAACCAACTTTGTTTGGTCGGCCAATAGAGCAGGAAATCTAATCGACACACAGCGCTAATCTCACACTAACGCTGCCAGTCCACACTAATTGGAATCTTGCATTGATCTGCTTTGTTTTTTTCTGTCCACTCTGCCTCGCTCTGTGTCTATTGAGTAGCGTACACAGCCCAAAAGTTGAGTGTTCCTCTGCCTTTTTAAACTGTTTTTAAAGCAAATTAGCATGTTTTCTCTGCTCCCGTTCCATATTAAAGATTTTTAACCTGGTTTATTTCAAGGAAACTCATCAGCATTCAAACCCTTAAGGTGTTTAAACCACCATCAGACCAACAGTGTTCCAGTATGAGCTTATAGTTTGGAGAAGAAAGCTGTCAAATCATTATTTAAAACTGCTATTGAAGATAAAAATATCCAAAATGTTAACACAGAGCTGCTTTCTTCTTCTTTTCTCACTTCATTGGCATGTAGCAGTGAGAAAATTCACACTTTAAAGAATGCAAGGTTACGCCAAATTTTGCCAAGCAGTGTGACTTTTTGAGCTTCTTCATACTTGCATCAAGGTGAGCTTTGGTCATCTCTCAGATTTTTTACTGTTATCCTCTTTTAAAATGTAACTTCTTAAACTCTAAGAATCTGTATGTGGCTCCACACTTCAATCCCTCACTCTCATAACCACAGAGAGTACACATTAATTAATTAATTAATTCAGTAGACACTAAATAATTCATAGTAGATACTGAATAACTCAAAGTAGACACTAAATAATTCATAGTAGATACTGAATAATTCATAGTAGATACTGAATAATTCAAAGTAGACACTAAATAATTCATAGTAGATACTGAATAATTCAAAGTAGACACTAAATAATTCAAAGTAGATACTGAATAATTCATAGTAGATACTGAATAATGTATAGTAGATACTGAATAATGTATAGTAGTTACCAGGGCTGAACGATATTGCAAAAATACATGATACCTGAAATTTTTCTCACATTACAGATTTCATATCACAATATTTTGTTTCATTTCATTAAGTTAGAACAGACAAAAAAGCCACAGCAGCATTGCATTTACAAGTACTGTCAAAAACTATGAATATCCTGATTATACAATGATTTATATTCAGCGTTTGACATACTGCACTGCTGTAAATCCAGTTTAACAGGACTAATTATGCTCTTTTTTCTGATGAAAAATGCAGTTGTTCAGTGTTATTTAAGGACTGACAGTATCCATGATATGCCCAGGAAAGCATATTGTGGCAGAATTGACCACGATAACGATAAAATATTGTCATATTGCCAACCGCTAGTGGCTACATAATAATTCTTAGTAGTTATTAAATAAACTAAAGTAGTTACTGAATATTTTGTAGTAGATACTGAATAATTCATATTAGTTGCTGAATAGTCCATAGTAGTTACTAACTAATTCTTAGCAGGTTTTTTAATAATTAATCAAAGAAATGAATCATTCATAGTTGTTATGAGTCTTACAATTAATAACCAAACAATAAGCCCAGTTGAAGCGGTTGTTAATGTGGACTGTCTTGTATAACTGTATCACGTGATTTTGCCTGTTTGATTAGTAATGATAAATCAGGTAAAATAAATTCCATTCAGACATTGCAGAACATTTGTGATGCTGTGTAATGCTGGGTGTCCAGTTTAAAATGCGTCAGTTCTGAGTTTGACCGTGTTGTTGTAGCTAAACTAAACTGGGCAGGCTGGAAACGACAGAGACGAATTTGCCACCACGCGAATGTCAGCTCAGTTACATAACATTTCACATGCACACAAAACAAACATCATTTGAAAAAAAATACTGTGCTTTAAATGTAGGTATCGTGATATAAACTGAGTCCGTTCTACAGTTTCTCATTAGGTTGAATGAATAACAGTTTCTAAATGTAGGTATTGTGATATAAACTGAGTCCGTTCCACAGTTTCTCATTAGGTTGAACGAATAACTGGCTCTAAATGTAGGTATTGTGATATAAACTGAATCTGTTCTACAGTTTCTCATTATGTTAAATGGGATTTTTGCTGATGTTGTATAAAGCTGTTGCCTCAGAAGAACACATTTATACATGGAAAGGTCAGCTGAGCCAGTATATGCGCCATTTTTTGTAAAAAATCAAATAAGCATGGTATGGCATTGTTTGATGCCCTGTACCTAAAATCAAGCGGTCACTAAAGCACAAATAAAGTATAGCTTGGCTTTTTAATGTAAATGGTTGTACAAAATAAATAGAAAACAAAATAACTGATAATCCAAAAAAG